AATGCCCATTGGCATGTATGAGAACTGAATGGGATATGGGACAGACTGGACCAGTCTGCTGTACATACTGGCAAGCACGGGAACTAGGGCAGGGAGCAGGCCTGATGGGGGTTATTGTGGATTACCCTGCTAGGCTACTATTCCCACTGGTTAGTGTGAGAGCCAGGTGTGTGGTAGGATTGGAATGGGCTGCAACACCCATTGGTTTGTGTAGAAGACAGGGCTGGAGACAGAACTAACCCAGCAATTTCAACTTCCAGTATGTGCATAAGCTGATTGTGGTGATGGACCGTGCCAGACCCTGTAATGGCAAGCACACACTCAGGTCTTGGGATCACCTCAGACGCAGTTTCTTTTGGGGATTCCCCCCAGTTGAATCGCTGGACTCAGAACCCCAACCATAGAAAGAATTACAGGTTCCATGGTCTGACTGTGGAGTGCATGTATCAGAGCTGGGCCTCCTTGGTGGACAGCATATCCAGGTGCACATGGAGGGTATGGCAGTACATTGGAGTCTTCAGAAATCACCTGGTATCATAACAGAGGTTGGGGGACAAAACAAATTGATCAACTACACCACCAAGTGTTGGCAGTGAGCATCTGGGCAAACAGAGACTCTAAGGTAGACTGTGTCAATCAGTGGATTCTGGAGAGATTTCATCGTGCTTGGAGTGGCAAGATCAGCAGTAATTCAGAACTGTTGAACTATTAAAACCTCTTGAGCAGGACCCTTGGAGCATGCCCCACATCAGGGACCCTGGGGTGGTGTCAGGTGGCTGTCTTCCATCCCAGGATACAGAGGCGTTTGGGAGGCTGGATGTGGCTTCTCCCCTTATCTCCCCTTTCCCCAGATACAAGAAGGAAAGAAGAGAGAATGTGGAAATAATGGTCTCACCCACCTTCCTGTAGCCCTTGACCCTTATATCCTAATCAACTATGTAAAAATCATCAAAAATAAAGATCATTATTTAAAAAAAATAATTTAAAAAAATCAGGCTTGAGGGTGACATCACCAAGATAGATGACTAGGGGTGTCTATGTACTTCCTGAACAATGAAGACCCAAACAAGGAAGAAGCAGTGACTCAGGCATGCTTGAGACAGAGCTGGAGTACCATGGAAGGCAGCAGAGACTTTGCAGAGGATGGAGACGCACCGACCTTATAAAGAAAAGAAGTAAGCACCGAGTATCTGTTGTTTTCTCTTTTGAAATCAACACTGAACGAAGAAGGACTTTGCTTGGTGGTGCAGGTAAACAGGATACCTCAGGCTGACCTCAAGCACTTGGACCATTTTCTATTACCTTCTGAGGTACTTTAGCAGGAAGCAGAACCAGAAGTGGAACACCTGGGATTGAAGCAACTCTCTATTAGCATTAAATTGGTGGTTTAACCCACTGTGACACAATGTCAGCTCTTCTTTGTTCTTTTTGTCTCCATGATATGTACCCTGATGTAAGTGGAATGTTGACATCACCAACAATTTTAATGCATTTGAGTCTCTGTCTTCTTTACATATAATGATTCTTTTTAAAGATTTATTTGTTTTTATTGGAAAGTCAGATATACAGAGAGGAGGAGAGGCAGAGAGGAAGATCTTCCATCCGATGATTTACTTCCCAAGTGACCAGGAGCCAGGAGCTCTTTTGGGTCTCCCATGCGGGTGCAGGATCCCAAGGCTTTGGGCTGTCCTCGACTGCTTTCCCGGACCACAAGCAGGGAGCTGGATGGAAAGCGGGGATGCCGGGATTAGAACCGGCGCCCATATGGGATCCTGGCGTGTGCAAGGCGAGCACTTTAACCACTACACTATCGTGCATACAATGATGTTTATTTTAAATAAATGATGTTTATTTTAAATAACTGAGTGTTCCAATGTTGGATGGATAAATATTTACATCATCATTGTCTCATATTAACTTGATCCTTTGTTCATTATGCAGTGATCTTTGTTGTTTTATATGGCTTTTGAATCAAATTGTCTACTCTAACCACTCCTCCTTGCTTTAAGCATTTATTGGAAAGGAAGATTTACATATAAAAGGAGAGACAGAGAGAAAGATCTTGCATCCACTTGTTCACTCCCCCAAATGACTGAAACAGCCAGAGCTGAGCTAATCCAAAGCTACAAGCTGTTTCCTATGAGTCTCCCACGTGGTCACAGGGTCCAAAGGCATTGGATTATCTTAGACTGTTTTCCCAGGCCACAAGCTGGGAGCTGGATAGGAAGTGGAGCAGCCGGGACACAAACCCACACCCACATGGGATCCCAGTGCTTGCAGGGGGAGGATTAGCCAATTGAACCATAATGCTGGATACCCATTCATTCGCTTTCAGTCTTTGTACATCTGTACTGGTGAGGTGAGTTTTGTTTAGTTGTCTATTCAGCCACTGTACTTCCAGAAAGAAAGAAAAAGACAGAGAGAGAAAGGGAGCAGGGGTGGGGGGGGGGAGGAGAAAGGCAGAAGGAAGGAAGGGTGGGTGAGTTACAGACAGGAAAGACTGAGAGAGATCTTCCATCTGCTGGTTCACTACCTAAATGGCTGCAAAGGCCAGAGCTGAGCTGATCTGAAGCCAGGAGCCAGGAGTTTTCTCTGGATTTCCCACATGGGTACAGGCACCCAAGAACTTGACCATTAACCACTACTTTTCCAGGCAAAAGCAGGGAGCTGGATGGGAAATGGGGCAGCCAGGACACAAGCCAGTGGACTTCTACATGCAGAATATATTTGCTGTGATTGCATCTAAGAATTTAGTTCTCGGCCAGTTATTCTTACCTCCTGTTTATTTATAAATATGCTTGGAAAAATAAATAGACTCTCCAATATTTAACCAGTGTAGTTTTTTAGGTCAGTTGTAAACTGATTAATGCTTTGATTCATTCATCACATTGAACATATACCCATAAGCCACAGTGAAAAATCAATCTGTAAGAAACCTAAAAAATTCGTGGCTGTAGGATTTGATACAGCAAATACTGATTTTTGAGTTTGGGATATTTTTTGTACCATTTAGAACATTCTATGAGATTTCAATTAAATATTTCCTTTGGCAGCTTAATTACCCTTCATCCAGGAATATTCTGCTTAAGACTGCCAAAATTAAATAAAACCATGGAAGTGCCATTGCAAGTGAGATAGAAAAAAACAGTGAATTAATTATGTTGTATGCAATTCACAAGAACGATTTTAGTCTGGTGTGTGTTCATTGGAATCTGCCTTGGCTCAGTTTATTTTTAAAGAAAGATTTTTGTGGATTTTTTTGCTTTGATTTTGGGACTCTTGAACCAAAGGACTGGTCTACAGATAGCTCGTCTGAGTATTCTTGGAGTTGTTACCATAACTCTTCTTTGATAGACTGCAGGGGCCATCTAGGAGAGTAACTATCCCCTATGTGATCTCACGACTTTGGGCAAACTCACACTCCTGCACTAATTATGTGTTCACCCCATGAACTTTCTCTTCTTTGAAATCACACAAGGGCTGTTGCCATTGTACTTATGTTGCAGCCTTGCATGGGAACTGCTCCAACCAACGTGCACTGAGAAGAAGGGCCGGCTGGGCAGGACCGGCCTCGTGTTTATCCTGCTCCTTCTAAACAAGTAACGATGTTTTCATTTTCGTGGGCCTTGGTGCTAGTGACTTTAGGAGGCAGCTTTCGCGACGGCGGTTAAGGTCCTGCGGTTGCCTCCACGGACCACAACCTAGGCTCCAAGGCCGCCGGGCTCTTTTCACCCTGGTCCTCCCACTCTGTGGATGCTGTTGGCTTCCTTCCGTGTGGGAAAATAATGCCTTCTGAAAAGCACTCTGTAAATGTAAAGTGATGTTTCACGATACTCTACTCGCTGACTTCTGTCCACTGGCCAAATAGCGTCTGATTGTCCATACTCAAAACTTCCTCGGGACTCTGAATTACCATTCTCCTTGCTGCTTACTGGGGAGGCCACATCACATCGTGGTTAGGAACAGGGGTACTGGCAACGGTGTTCTGGTTCTACCACACAAGGAAGGCAAGGGGTCGGTTACAACTGAGTCTGTTTTCTGTAAACGCTAATCAAGGGACACTAACATAACCACCCTCGCAGGACTGTCGAGAGGATTAGATGGGTATTGTAAGGGAAAACACTTAACAGAGTATCAAGCATCGGTAAGTGCTTGGGAAGGATTAGCTTTCCTGGGTTTCTGAGGGAATGTAGACTTCTGCGATTGTAATGCATTGTGTTTAAAACCAGCCCAAAGCAGCTGATTTTCACAGTTAAATCGCAGCTTAGTTTTCCTCCCCTCCTACAGTCTTTCCTGTATTCCATCTCACCTAGGCTGAGGACACATGCAAAGGGAACTTCAGTAAGTTCATAGAAAGTGGAATGGAAAGATTATTTTGGTGCAAAAATGTTTTGAAATCCAGGCACGGTTTCTTCATCACATGCATTTTTCATGAACTTTTTGAAGACTCCTCTTATTCATTAAATGAGCAGATGGTGTTGCTTTTCTCCATTTGAAAGAAATCATGGCATAATAAACTTTTTTACAAGCCCAATATTCAGATACTTAAGAACTGTTTCATTGGCTTCCAATCCTTGCATTTGGGGTAGGAGGGGATAAGGTTTGTGAGGAGGCCCCTATGGGCAATAGCCCTCCGTGAATCCCTCCCTGTGGCCACCATGCTGTCATGGCTGTGTCACTTGAAGCAGCAGATAGATTGTGGACTCTGTGACATATATGACACAGTTTCTATTTCTTGGATATCCATTCCCACTGGGCCCAAAGCAAGCAACTATTATGATTTCTGCCTGGCATTCTGCCATTTGTCTATGTAGCAGTCAGAGTGGAATGAGGTTAGACATTCAAGTCAGAAACAACTTCCTGAATATTATCTCCAACTCTACAATCTTACAAGTTTTGCTTCTTTGTGGAGATGGTTACAGTGTGAGGCTCCTGATTTCAAGGTGGCATTATCAGTGATTTGTCAAATCCACTCATATCATCTCATTGTTTTGTTACAGATTGATGTGCTCAAGGCAGATCTGGAAAGTGCAGAATGGAAGGTTCTGGAAAATCTCATTCTGGAAAATGTCATTGAACAGATTGGCCAGCTCATCTTTGAGATCCATCTCCACTGGCCCGGGTTTGAGGTTAGTGGCACTGACAGCAGTGTCGTGCGGTTCTGGTACAGTCTCCTCAAAGAGTTAGAACAAAAGGATTTCAAGCTTTTTCACAGTTACAAAGACTTAACTAAACCTCAGCTATTCCTGAAGAAAGAGATCTTCAATGCAAGTAGCTGCTATACTCTAAGCTGGGTGAATACAAGATGGGGATAGCATGCAGGTCCACGTCGAGAATGCTGGGGAATATTCTCAGAACGGAACACACCCACAACTCTCAGCACAGATTTATGTATTTACTAGACTGTTATCTGCTCAAGCAGGGACCATGTTACAGTCTTTGTGGTATAGGAGCCTGGTACTTGACATGTGGCAAAGGTACCCTCAATATACCAAGGGATGAACCATCAGCTCCCTCCCACCTGCACCCTGCTCCCTCCACCACCATTGTCCAGACCCAAGCCCTTTGCCATCTGCCTCAAATCATGTTTCTTTACAAGATGAGAAGTTTATTCCGGATGATTTTCAAAATCTCATTTTGAATAACTTGCCTAAGTAGTATAAAAATATCCAAATTATTTTATCAATTTAGTATTTCACTTTTGCATTTTCTCTATGTCTTGACAGGGTGTTGAAAACAGAATATTGATTGTGTTAGACTTTTTTCTTTTCCCCATTTGTTTTTCTTTAACCCCTTTCTGCCCTCAGACCTTCCCCAGGCTGGCTTTTTGCTTCTTGTAATCATTTGAAACCATCATATATCTAGTGAGAACCCAGAAGATATTATCACTAGCTTGGATTCAAGAGCATAAGACTTTCTGAGTTAGTTGTGATGACTTTCAAAAATATAGGTGAGGTTTTTATTTTGAAACCTATCATACATTAATGAAAGCTGTGCGGCTGCGAGGGCCAGCCCAAGTAAGTATGGCTGGCAATGGCTTCAGTCGCTTCAGTGTATGGAACTATTTTAAATGAGCAGCAGGATTCCTGCAAACTCTAAAGAGGTTCATACTTTCAGGCTGTCCTAAGGAAAGCCAACTTTGGATTATATCAAGTAATTTTTCATAAGCATTTCATATCCTGAAGCATATGCATCAAAGTATGAGGAATGTGCCGATCATTAATGTCCAGTCTGGTTGGTGTTGAGATATGCACCCACAACCGTATCAAGACCTCTAACTCAGGGAACTGAAGATGGATGACATTACAGAAAGTCTCCTTTGTATAAGGCAAGGAAACCACTTATTTCAGACAGTGGTGCAGAACATCAACCTTATCACACTATATATGAGGCAAGAGTCGATGTACTGGTAAAAAAGAAAAAAATAATAAATCACAAACACTGCCACCCACACCCACCTACCAGGCAGCCTGTTCTAAAACTGTCCTTCATTTCCTTCAGGGGTTGTTTGAAATTTATGGTGAATATTCTGATGGTTGCTATGGTTTCCCTGCCTCTAGATTTGGTATGTCTATCAGGTAGGTCAAGGCCTGTTAACCTCAGCACAATTGCCTTTGGGGCTGTATTACTCTATGCTGGGAGGAGGAGGCTGTTCTGTGCATTGTAGAATGTTTAGCAGCATCCGCTGGGCTCCCCAACAAGGTAACAAAGGAACCTCACCGTGTCCTCTATGCATTCCCACGTTAGGGGCAGTCACCCACTGCAGAGATGGACAAGTGTAGGCCATGGGAAGGGGACCAGGCTACACAGCCTGGGGTGTTTGCTTATTAATAGTGAGCAAAACACAACCCATCACTGCCATAAACACAAAAGTAACAGACCAGCAAAATCAGGACTTGCCCTTTTCTGAGAGTTCACTATGCGCCAGCACTTTGCATAGGTTACTGCTAGTTCTACAAGAACTCAAGGAGGAAGCAGAGAACCTTGAGCAGTTACCTTACTCAGATTCAACTAGCTGACAGTGGAATGTGAATTTATACTTCCGTTTTCCAGACCCTTTCAAATGCTGCCTCCATGGCCTTCACCACATATAAAATTCTTTCATTTATTGGTCTTGCTTAGTTAAAGGAAGAAAAACCTACAAATATACTTAGACCAGACCTAGATATCTGTTAGAATGACGATAGTGCAGATATGCCTCACATTGAATCATTAACCTAATTAAAACATGACAGTACTTTAAAAAGTTCATGAAAAAATACAGATCAGTTTATTTTGCTGTAAAAATGTTTGAAATTCATGCATAATTTTGTTTGTGTTTGTACAGTACACATTTTCCATGTACGTTTTGAAGAATCCTTGTGTGCTGCCAAATGGAGCCTTCCTGAACACACATGGGGACTGAGAGACTTGTGTGGCAGGACCTGAGGCTTCCGGGAAAGTTCTTGTGAGGCCCAGAAAGGACTCTCGCTCTGGCTCATCCTGGTGCTGGCACTTTGCTCTCAGTTTTGAGAAAGGACACGGTCACTTGAAATTGCAGTGTCATCCTCCTTTGCTTTAAATCAGTCAAACCTGTAGATAAATAAGTCTAGAAGGGAATATTTGTGACACACAGCTCCTTAATAAACTCTGAACAGAGAAGTGCTTATGCATGATTCTGGAAAAATGCACTTAATAATATTCTTGAACATGCCTTCTTTATTTGAAATACAGAATATGAAAGATTCAGAAACTGCCTTTTTTAAGAACACACTGAGGTCACAATCAATGCAAAACAATGCTCTTTTTTTTGTCGTGCAGACTTTCACTTGACGTGTTCAAATGAAGAGAGCAAAAGAAAAGTGAGTTAGTTTCCATTACAATTGACTGGAAGTCCAATATTTACATCGTGGTAGAACAAAAAGAAATTCATGAATTTACAACGTTTTGTTCAAATCAGTTATTCAATATAAGCATTTCTGCCTTGACCGTAAAATCTTTTAGTAAATACAGTATAAGATTTGCATCTCTTAGCATTATGTGTTTACATTTAACAAAGGTTAAATTAATAGAAGCCAGGCTCTGTATGTTTTTTGCCAGCTTAAAAATGAAGGCCATATTTAAACAGAGTGTTCTTCCTGACAATTCAACAGTCCCTCCAAGTTCAGTGAACACAATTATTCTTTCCTGAGGGAGACAAATTTATGCTTGTTTTTCAAGCAATAATATAATTTCTTTTGTATCAGCCAATTGTTGATACTTTGTAAATTCAATATAAATTTAATCTTGCACTGAAATGTCTTCTTTTCCATATGATGACTTTATACTTAGATGAAATCATAACTTAAAGATTCAATACATCGTCACAGCTGCCTAAGTTAAGGGATGTCTGGAATCTTTTTCTGTCCATAAGAAAAGTAAACCAAGCTGCTTCAGGTGCTGCCCTACTTTATGGCTAGAACTATGTGGTAAGTGCTCATTCTCAATACTTTAAACCAAATGCATTCTAAAACCAGCAACTTCATATCATTACATGAGTTCACTTTTTCTTATGGGTTTTTATGAGACTTTCTGAGGTAACACAGCACTTGAGGGAATCAGCTGGAATTCTGATCCCGACTATTTTGGTGGAGAAGCCAGGTTTGCACAGGAGTGCTGGTTTAGCCAGATGGCCGAGGGGATGAGTCGAGTGTCAGAGTGGTAGCTAAGAATGAAGGATTGTTTGCTTGAGAATTGCTGAGATAGACATGAAGTGTTCTCACCAAAGAGAAAAAGAGATGACAAGCATGTGAGGTCATGGATATACTAATGAGCTCCAGCCATTCTATTTTACAGGTACATATATCCAAATGCCGTGTTATATATCATAAATATTTACAAATCCCATTTATCAACTTTAAAAAGCCCATAAAACTTTGCATAATTTATACTGAAACAAAATACTAGTAAACTAAGATGGTTGGTAGGTAGTGGGAGTCTTGAGTCGCCTAGGGGCTTCCTTCCACCTGAGCCCCTATCACAGAACACCCAATCTCCGCTTAAGTGGTGAGCTGAAGGTTACTGAAAGGTACCGAAAGCACAGCAGGTGCTTGGCTTCTGTTCTAACTGATCTGTCCTCTGCCTTACCTGTTATTGGAAGTTTTTAATATCACCCAGGTGAGCATGTGCAGGAAACTATTGAAAGTTTGTACAAAATGGAAACATTTTTCTGGTGCCAGAGAAGTTTTAAATATATGCAAATGTGCATTCAACGAAAGTCCAAATGGGCTCTATGATATTCATGAGAAACCACATTTTTGTATCATAACAAATAAGTAGGTTATGATCCATACAAGAAAATATTTCTCAAGGATTGATGTCAGATCAAACCTCATTTGCTCAGGGATCCCCTGTTTAAGGACCATGCATTCCCTGTCTTTGAATGAATGTATCTGTTTGGGTCATGTCTTGCATCTTTCCCAGTAGACTGGAAGCCCTCTGAGTGTAAGCACTTGGTCTGCAGCCTTAATGCCTAGTGTGGAACTTGATAGATAAAACGTGCTCAGTAATATAAGGTTGAATATAAATGTTAGAGGTTATCTCTTGTAGAAATTTCCTGTAAAATCATTCATCATTTGTTATCAAATTTTTTTGGCATTAAAATCACTTTGGAATTTAGAAGGACTACTGTTTTTCATTTTGTTGACTTACCTTTGGAAGTCTTTCAACCTGTTTATTGCATTGTATATCGTATTCCCTGTCCTGAATAAAGGATGCTAATCTGGAGATCCTGCTGACTTTGCGGACCTGAGAGCTGTGCGACAATCAAATTGAAATCTCATTTATTATCAGACAATATGTAAGTCCTGGGATATGAAACCTCAGCGTTCCTTTCTCGTTCTTTATTGTCCCTTCGTCATACCAGTTTCCAATTCCAATTGACTTGTACAGTCAGGCTAGTGTGGAGAAAATTTTTTTTTCAGTTTAGAAAAGAAGGGAGGTATCATGACATGAGGCTATTCCTACCAAGGAGTAGGGCTGGAATGTCTCAAAAAATGATTTGCTACATCGTTATACAACATAATGGGTAAAAAGCAAAAACAAGGTAAGAAAAGGTGATATAGTCTCAATATTGGAATGTAAGCCAATGTAATTTGTGGGCACAGAAAAGTGATGGGGCCTGGTGTAATGACTCAATGGCTAAATCCTCATGTTGAAAGCACTGGGATTCCATCTATATCGGCACTGGTTTGTGTCCTGGCTGCTCCACTTTCAATCCCTCTCCCTGCTTACAGCCTGGGAAAGCAGTCAAGCGAGGCCCATAAGACTTGGGACCCTGCACAAGTGTGGGAGACCTGGAAGAAGCTCCTAGCTTCAGACAG